CAACACATTATATCTGAGTGTGTCACATTGTGAGGGCACATTAATGCAAGTTCCCACATACATTTGAATTTGACAAAAGGGGTGAACATGTATAAATACATCACAAATTACATATATAAATGTACTGTATGTTAATAAAGCACAAATCAAAAGCTGTGTTCAAACAAAAGTATTGGAAAAGTAAAAAAAGAGGATCAAGACAAAGTTATTATAGTTCCTGATAGGTAGACGGATGCATGTATGGATTTTCATAGCAATCCATCTCAGTGGTTTCACTCAAAACTCCAAATGTGACCATGGTGAACCAAGAGGAAAAGTAGAGCAATCACCAAACTTAGTAGGATGCATCCTCTGAGGTGAGGACCACAAATGTCATAATATCATGTTAATCTACCCAGTAGTTGAAATATTTTAGTCAAGACCAAATTGGAGGACAGACTGATCAATGATGCTAGCATGATTAAAAAAAACACATCAATTAGCCACACTTTGGTACTGGATGATGTATTCCTCCATTAATGAAGCAAAGCCTGCAAGCTAGTTCAGGCAGTCAACTCGAGCTGCGCTGTTATACACACATGACATGTCTCACTTCATAATCACTAACCAAGCGCACCCTTCCAATCTGGTGGTCTTTTTAAACTGCACTATTTCCCAGCTCTCCCTCTGCTCTGTCAATGCCGCTGCTGCCCTGCATCCATATTGCTGCCTGCTGCGCTGTAAGCCCCACCACCACCCCAGCATCCACCTGTAGGCTCCGGCTAGGGGTTTAAGGTATAGTGTGCATCATCTCCCAATTTCTCCTGATGTAAACATATCCGGGGACATTGATGAGGTCGGAGCCTAGATGCCAAGATCTAAATATGCTGTAATAAACATTTCAAATGTGAGTTGTCTGATTGAAGTATAGTTGATGCAACTGTTGTTGCTGTGCACATTTGTCTCTGTCTCTTTCCTTCTCTCTCTCCCTCTCTTACCCCAACTGGAGCCGGGGTCTGTCTGAGGTTTCTGCCTCTTAAAAGGATATTTTTCCTTGCTGCCGTCACTAAGTGCTTGCTCATGGTGGGAACTGTTGGGTCTCTGTAAATAATCTTATAAGGTGTACGGTCTAAACCTGCTCTATTTGAAAAGTGTCCTGTGATAACTTTTCTTATTAATTGGCGCTAGACAAAATTTAATTGAATTGAATAGATATAAAAGTTACCATCTGCAGAGCCGTAAGTTGCTTACCCCTGGGTGTTGTGTTGCATAACATTTTATTTTTCTCAATTTTCTAATTGTGTAGCTTAGAAGTCTAACAAGAAAAAAGCTATTTACCATTCAGTGGAAGTACCAATAATTATGACAAAAACGTCATGAATAACATACTCTGCTCAGGCTAAAATAAAACTATTGTGTGGTACAGTGAATGCAGTTCATAAAAATTCATCCAAAGGGCAATATATTTGTGCATTTTTGCCAATATGAATGCTAAGATAAAATAAATACAGTTCAGTTCATCCATTATAAATTAATTAGTAATTCTTACTAATTATGCAAGTAAGAAGACATTGGATATAATCTTCCATAATCTAAAATAAATATTAATTTGTTTAATCAGTAAATCTGACAAAATATTGTTTTTACTCTGCTGGCTCTCATTCATATGACTTCAGCATAACTATAATTAAGAGAAACGTTATGTATTTAATATTAGCCTTGCCACTGAAACATTTTAACCCACTTCCTCTCCATTTAGCAGAACATACCATTTTTTGATGTCAATATTTCCCTGCGCAGGTTGTGTTCCACTCAGCCATATGATGAATGCCTGTAATAACTGCAGATCTGATATGCAGCCTGGCGTCCTCTTGTTCATGATAAGGATTCTTCCCATGAGAAGACATATCTGTGAAATCAGGGCATCAGAACAATGAGTTTGGGATCCTGCCCACATTAAGCCATCTTTGCCAATCCCATTCTGACCTAAACCACGCTCGTTCCCAAACAGAATTTCTGCTTTAATCAAAAGCGGAATGGAAAAAGAACCCTGCGTGCCTCTGGGATATTTTTCCATTAACCATTTTGACACATGACTGACTGTGGGGGATTATTGGTTTTTGAAGAACTATTAACAGCTGTACATTTGCATTTTAATACAGTTCTCCTCAACTTACTAATGCAATTTGCTTCTCAGCTTTGTTGCCACCTCATTCCTTCAGCAATTCAACAGCAAAAAAAGCCCTCCAGCTTTAGTTATTTTAATTGCCATGAAATATTAGTTTTCATTAATCACTTCTGAATCTTCACAATTAGACACCGGCCATTACAGCTCCTCTCCGAACTGTTGCTTGTTACTTCCCGGAAGGTTTTGGGTGGAATTGTAAGTAGCGAGGAAAGGTTCATCTCGGATCCGATGTTTAATTCATTAAAATGTTTGCTGTCTGGGCTTCTTTCATTGTTTTTAGAGAAAGTCCTGTTACTTTTTCAGGTACCGAAATAACCGAAAGGTAACGTGATTCTAGGAAACTCTAAGAAGGGCATTCAAATTCACCAGTGCTAAACTAAACCTACAAGAAGCAATATAATTACAGAAATCTTAATTTGATAATAACTCAAGTTTCCTATTTCTATTTTCCATCCCAGGCTGGCCTTGTTGGATTGGTAGGCGAAAAGGTTCTTGGAAGTTATTTGATAGAGGTCCCTGAAGGTCTCTTTGCCGTAGTGAAAATGTTCCACTGGTTTAGTAATTCATATGTCTTAGAATTCAGATCTCTGGCCTTCTCTACAGGTAGACAAACTATCTGTACGGCTGTGTTTCCCGCTGAATCTGTCATATTTGTCCTCAGCGGGAGCTTGTCCACCTTCTTTCTTCAGCAGAACGCATTAGTCACTGAATATTACCCGACTGTGACTGAGCAAGAAGATGAGCGTTTGCATGACATTTTCAAAGGGCAAAAGTAAACTAAAGGTGTTTTTTATTTTTTACTTTCTGGCATTTTGTAAATTGTAAGAAAGGAACAATTTGTACCAACAAATAATTTGATAAAATAAGTCTGGAGGCTGTGGGTAACTTTCCATGCAGACATGCAGAAATGGCAATGATGGATAAATGATGAGCATAACTGAAACAGTTTCAAACCAAAGACTGTATAAGAAAACACTTCTGTGTGTAGATGTATGGGTAACATGTCAGTCTTTAAAGCTGCAGTAGGTAA